GAATTTTGTACTTGTAATCATGCTTAATAAGATAATTAATAATCTTGTTTAGGGTTAATTATATTATAATTCAAGTGATCGCCAATAATATATTTATTTGTGCATTAATATTCAACCAACATAGATTAAACAGGTTTAGGTTAACCCTATTGATTGCATGTTAGTCAGAAAACGCACATGAACACTATCAGAATAAAGTAGAGGCCTATTATTAGGGCAGGTTCAATCTCTTTTAGGTTGGATTTGTAACTTCATCCCCGAACTACCAGTCATGATTCCAGACCTATTGGAGTTTACAATCTCCTGGATCGTTAAGGGGTGTAACCTTCACCCTATGAACGGTTTACATGTTCCTAAAACTTGTTGGCGACTCTTTTGCTCTATCTTATTACCCTTTGGACGCCACCATGCTTAAGTGTATGATCACAGTGGGGTTCAAGCTAGGGATAATGCTTAAAATATTCCCTACAATGATATGTCCACGCGTCTCTAGACAAAAGAGCTTGAAAGAAACTTGAATGTTTGTTGCGATAATATTCCGAAGAAAACTTTCGAAGACCAACGCTTGTCAATCTTTAAAGCTCTCTTAAACTTTGCTTCCGCTATGCCAGTACGTCGACGCTTTTGCTACTTGTGAACCATTATGTATGTGCCTCTGCTGTTTATGAACCAGTATGTCGGTGCTTCTGAATCAGTATGTCGGTGTCTTCTAAACCAGTATGTCGGTGTTTTGAATTGTATGAACCATTATGTTAGTGCCTTTGTTGAGCCAATGCTTAGTAGCTTTAAGCTAAGTGAGACGATCATTCATCAGGTCGATCACTTATTGGGATTGTAATCAAATCGACTACTCAATCATGTCAAATTGCTTAGAGGGGCTACCTGGCGTACTAAAGAACCCTAAATTGCTCTTCTGAGATGCTTTGAGCTCTGTCGCTGTTGAACTATCTCTGGCGCCAAGAATTGGCTCTGTTGCCAGACACTGGGATCTAGCGCCAGGCGCTGAAATCTGTTTCCAGACGCTAGATGTTGTCGTCTGGCGCTAGAGTAGGGTCTTCCCTATTCTGCTCTTGCTGCCGCTGGGATGCACCTATATTTATCTTTGACTATAGGACTTTGCTAATCTCTTTAATTTTTTTTAGGGTTGACATAAGGTTTAATGTTGCTTGACTCATTGACTTGACACGACTCAAGGTATAAACTTGACTCGCTGTTATTGACTCGAGGTTGACTTGACTCGACTCGACTCGAAGTGTTTGACACATGTGTTAGACTCAAATCAAGGTGATATGACATGACATGACTCAATGTGTACATGACTCGTGTGTGCATTGTAATGTGATCGTGCGACTCGAAAATGAAAACAGCAAAAAATTTCCGTCATTTTTGTGGAGGGTACCGACTTTCTCCCGAAAAAGAAAGACGCAAAAAAAGAATTGAAGTTTTCGAATGAATGTTGAATGAGCTTAGTCAAATTTTGTTTGATATTATCTCTCAAGGTGCAAGGATTAATCCATCCTAGGCTATCTCAATGGTTGACTCAATGATGAAAGTATTTAGGTAACTTAGGCACAGAGGCTAAGCACTTCATACTTCGTGATGTAATGACAATTATGATTGATGAGTGATGTTGATATGACAAGGCATGCTTCAACGTTGTGTTAAGATTCCATGACAAAGAGTTCCTAAGGGAAGGTATATTTGGTCATGTATCTGTGATGTGTGTGAAAGTGATTCTAAAGTTAGGCCGCAAGGGCTAAGTGTGTGGAAAAAGATATTATTTCAAGAAGAGTCAAATGATGGTGACTCTTAGGTTAGGTAAGCTAATGATGTAGGGATCAAGCCCCCAAGTCTAGCCCTAAGAATATAGGGATGAGCATTGGAGATCCCTTGATATGATCATGATGTGTGAATGTGAATGAATGCATGTTTATTACGGCCGCACCTCGATGTGAGGTTGCCTACGTATCCGTTATGAATCAGGCCAAACGTAGCTCTAGCCGAACCTCGCACAACTATGTGTATACCTCAAAAAGGTCTTTTTAAGGGTTATAATGTGGTTAGTCTAAAGGTTATAGAAGAAAGGGATAAAGACTCAAGACCCTCGATAAGCCCCCAAGGTGTGCAACCTTGCTTTTGAATCTTTATATTTTTATGCTTGAGGCTTTTAACTCTTTTTTAGCTCTATTTTCTCTTTTGCTTTAGCATCTATTTTATTTTTATAAGTGTAAGAAATCCCGATCATGCGGTCTATCACTCACTTGGCATTCAGGTTTCTCAAGCATGGTACCGAGCACTCGATAAGAGACGCAATCTGAGACGTGTTCATATCAAAGACATGTTCATGTCAAAGACATTGGAACACTCTCCCTTTTGTACACTTTATTTATTTATTTTTATTTATTGCTATTTTAATCTTTTGAAGTCACTCAAGCTTTTTAAATTGCATAAGTTGTACACCATCCTATCCCAAGGTTAGGTAGATATGGGTTGAAAAAATGAAAGGTCTATCGTTAAACGAGGCTCAAAGTGGTTTGTCAAAAAAGGATTGTAAATTTGAAGGGTGAAAGGTGATATAATGTGGCTACAAGGGGTGCCTCAAATCTTGGTATACCTTGTGCTTGGTTAGACATGGATTTTTTTTTTTAAATGCAATGTAATGAAATGATCATATGCAAGAAAATAAATGCTCATTTTATTAAAAGGAAAAAGAAAGAATCTACAAAATTAATCTAAGGGGAATAAAAAGGTTTCTATGCTAAACTTATTGGGGAAAGGGTAAATAGAAAAATAGAAAAAGAGGTCACGAAATCTTGTCGTTGAACCTCGCCTCTTGTCTTGTGTTGTTTGCTTTATCATCACTCGCTCTTCTTGTTAAGGGGAGGCATGGGAAGCTTGTTATTATCAATCAAATGTTGGATAGCCTCCTTTAGCTTCCAGCAGCTCTCACTAGCATGACCCCTACCTTGATGGTACTTGCCGTGTTCATTTGGATTCCAACTAGGCAATCTCTTTTCAGGTGCGGGATCTGGAATAGGTCCAATGGGAGTAATGAGTCCCTTAGCATGGAGTCGATCGAAGGCAGTATCGTAGCTCATCCCAATGGGGGTGAAGTCTTTCCTTAGTTGCTTCTTAATTCCTTGGTTATCCATGGTTAAAATTTCACTGAAATCAAAGGTACTAACATTGTTACTAGAGTGGGCATTTTCGGAAGAAGAAGGATTGTCGTTCTTCTTTCCTTTCCAGCCACCGTGGTTACTATTGTTAGTAGCTTTTTGCTTTGCGAGTCGTCTTCAATCTCGATTCCGATGTCATAAACGGCCTTGAAAGTATTCAAGTTGTGTTGATATTTTAAGTGCTTTGAATACTTTTCTTGTAAGTTCTTGATAAACATCCTCACATACTCTTTTTCAGTGGGCACCTCAATCATCTTAGCGGAAGTTTCCCTCCACTTAATGAAGAAAAAGTAAAGTCTTCATTCTCTTTTTGTCTTAGCTCCTCGAGCTGTCTATAATCGGTTTCGACTTGAATATTACACTTATATCTATTAATGAAAGCGTTTACAATAGCATCCCATGTAGAGGTTTTCTCTTTGTCAAGGGAGAAGAACCATTTTTGGCAAATGGTTTAATAGATAAAGAAAGTGGAATGCTAAATACTGCCGTCCATTTTTATCATCACCACCATCATTTGAAGCAAGTTGACAATTTTACCCTTAGTAAACCCTAACCCAATTTTCACCCTTATTTTTTCACCCTTATATTTTCACTCTAAAGTTAATAATTTTTTTTTATCTCAATCATCCACCTTTACAACACAACCTCCACAAACAACCAAAAGCAGGGCCACTTTAGGCAGCAGCTGCGGCGGCGCGCGCTAATTGCGGTGGTGGATGCGGCGCGGATTCAAGTACCGGCGGCGGCGGCAGCGGCAGCTGAATGGGTGCCAAGGAGGCGTGTTTCGAGTTTTTGAATTTTTTTTTTCTGTTTCGTTTTTTTATTTAATGAAATGAAGGTAACAAGCAGCGAAATCCGGTTACCGCTGCTGGCAACTGGCGACCAAATCCGGTTACCGGTGCTGGTAATCGGATTTGGACTCCGGTTACCAGCAGCGGTAACCGGATTTCGCCGCCGGTTACCTGGAGCGTTGAAACTTCGCGGCGTTGTAATGTGCTGCTGGTAACCGGATTTGCCCTCTGGTAACTGTTGTTCACCGGATTTGACCACCGGTTGTCACGGTGACCGGATTTGGCTTCCGATTCGGTTACCAGGTTTTAAAATTTAAAATTTTTTTAATTTTTTTAAAAAAAAAAAAACATTATTATTATTTTTTTAATTATGCTTATATTTTTATTCATTTGTAATTAATTATTATTAGTAATGTCCCTAAAAAAATGAATTATTTTTAGTAATGTTAATTTTAATGGTAATAATTCTGTCAAAAAATAAAATAAAATAAAATAACTGTTGTTGTTGTTGTTTTTTGTTGTTGTTGTTGTTATTATTATTATTATTATTATTATTATTATTATTATTATATTATTATTATTATTATTATTATTATTATCATCATTATTATTATTATTATCATTAGTTGTAAATTTTTAGTTAATTTGGTTGTGACAGTTGGCTAGACTCAAAATGACGTTTGATCGTATTGATGGGTCGGGTGAGCGACATACTAATTCTCGTGTAGTGACTACTTCGGCTAGAAGACAAAGGTCATATGTTGCTATACCCGAGGAAGCGTGTGTTGAAGATGATTTTGAGAAGGGACGAGAGGGGGAGGATAAGGAGGAGGAGTGGCACGAGGACCAAATTACCGCTTTGATGGGTGATGATGGGAGTTCCAGACATGTTCGACGTCGGCGAGATAGAGAGCAAGGCCAGGCGTCATCTTGGGCTACTTTGAGGAGAGGTGCTGATGGTAGATTTCAGAGTACAGGAGCTGTTGCTTCCTAGACTAGTAGACCTCGTAGTGGCCGAGCATCGACTGATACTATGTGGCTTGTTCAGGGTGAAATGCCTGGTGGTCCCAAGGATGGTAGTGTCATTCCTAGATACGCAGGTCACATCGCCACACAGATTTGGATGGGGAGTGGTGCCAGAGATTGTCAGATTTTGAGGTGTCATCCTAGAACTCAGTGGTGCCTAGATTTGCAGGAGATGTACAAAAATATGACAGACGATGTGCGTAGCCGAGTAGATAGTACTGTTTTGAGTAGACTAGCTCACATCATGCATCACCACATTGATTGGGCCCTGATTTCAGCATTTGTAAAGCGCTGGCAGCCAGATACAAACACTTTTCACTTTCCTTTCGGCGAGATGACTATTATGCTCCATGATGTCCAGTACATACTTGGGTTACCAGTGGAGGGTGCTCCTATTGTGGAGCGTAGCGATGTTGCGTCTTTGAGGGTTGACTTTCAGAACTTTTTGGGGGTAGGAGTAGCAGCTCTTGTTGCCAAGCCAGGTGCTATTTGGGATAATGGGGGGTATCATGTCAGGCCATACATGAGAGGTGCCTGGCAGAGAGGGGAGACGTTGATATCCAGGTGCAGGGTTACTTGATGTTAGTTCTTGGCAACACTCTCTTTGTCGATAAGAGTGGTAGTCGTATTATTTCTTCTTTCATCTTAGAGGTGAAGAAGGAGGATGCTCGACTTTCTCATTATTCATGGGGTTCAGCTACCCTTCCTTATCTGTATCGGCAGTTAGGCATTGCCTCGCGGATAGATTGCAAACAGATTACCGGGTGTTTGACGTTGCTACAGTCTTGGATTTACGAGTATTTTCCCGCATTTCGACCTATTCAGGGCTGTTTAGCCATAGCACCGACTGATGGTCGGGCCGCCATGTGGGACACACTGGCACTGGATAGGGACTACCATCGTGTAGTTTCTTTTTGTAGACGTCTTGATCAGATGACAGATCGTGAGGTATATTTGGCGCAATGTATTTATTGAAAATTATTGTTTTCACACTTACTAATTATTAACGTGTTGTCATTGTTTTGTGGGAATTGGTTGTAGGTTAATTGGAGGCCCTACACGTTGACTCCAGCTCATTTGATCCCGAGGACTACTTACTTGGGCTGGATACAGTATCAAGACATTGTTGAGCCATACCACCCTGACACAGTTGTGTGACAACTTGGATATGTTCAGCAGATTCCTCATCCCATTCTTAGACCTGATTATGCTTACCGGCCAGGGTATGCGACGCGGAGTTACGTGGTTAGCTCCGCAAGTGCACCTCAGTTCTGGGACAGATTTCACTCTAGGTCTTATTGTATACCCTTATCGGATTATTTGCCGTTGCTGGACGAGGAGCCTACTTGTTCTGATGATTACTTGGAATGGTTCTATACGTACTCACATCCATGTCTTATGAGTACTGATGAAGTGCTTCGCCCACCACCTCGACCCAATAGGACAAACGTGGATTACGTAAGTTTATTTAAGTATTTAATTTCATTTATTTAATTTTTATTAATTAATTTCATTACCTTCGTTTATTCAATTATCTTAATTAAATTTGACTCAATTAAATTTTTAATTTCATTTGTGTAGTGGGTGCAAAGATTCATGTCTCCATTGCGCAAGTTCATAGCTGAGAAGGGAGGCAACATCACCCCCACGGTGATCCAGGCGCAGGAAGCAATCATGGAGTGGAATGCCATGTTAGAAGATTGATATGTTTTATTATATCATTAGATTTGGTTTTAGTATTCTAAGTGTTATTCTTAGTGTTATTAGATTTGGAGCAAACAATTATTAGATTCAATGTCATGTTTTAAATGTTATTATAATAGTAGTTCGAACTAAGTAGTAGGAAAACAATACATATCCTATTAACATCATTCACTACCAGATAGATTTTGCCATGTAGCACGCCTATCTTGATATCGGTCCTCCTAACCTATAACGGTATCATCACGTATACGGAACCAAGGAGTAGCAATAGGAGGAACCGAGAAATTATCTTCGAACTCCAATCGCACGAAATGCCACCTTAATGATAGTATGCAAAACTCCCTATACGGACCAGTGGCAGTTGATGGAGCAGTCCAAGGTAGTACAGTGAGGCATAGGTAGACACTACGACCGTCCCTACCAATACCAAAACACATAACATCGGCATTATAAAAGTTGGCAACCGGAAACAAGTCATCAATAGCAATCATCCAATGGTCCATGCCGCATCTCCCTCCAGTCCATGTGATACGGTGTATTGCTCCATCTAACTCTCCAGCAGTGTATACTTGAGAATAAATGTCGCGGTGAGCAGCAACCTCATTTGCAATCGAACGTCGAGCTAACATCCATTCATTCTGGTTACCTATGAAGAAATCAGCAACACATCGAAATCTGCAGTTTCCATCACCAAGCGGATCACTCCACCCTTGTAAGAACAGAAGCATGAAGGCTGGAATTTTGTCCAAATATGCAAATTCCTCAAAGTTCAAATCATTCCCTACAAGTTAGGACAAATTTAGAAAAAATAACAACAACAACAACAACAACAACAACAATAACAAAAAGAATAACAATGAACCTGAAGGTGTAAAAATGGGTGGTCTACGACCACCACGATGACCACCCCTACGCCCACCTCGACGGCCACGAGAACCCAAAATATGCTCAAATCCGCTACGATTACGCCTAGTAGACATAGACCATTGGCCTGCCGGTGGCCGACCCCTTGTAGTCTCGTTGATCTCTGGATCAGTAAAATCTGTCTGATCTCGGTGTAGTTCCTCAAATAGGACCCAGCTGACACCCCGCACAAAGCTCGGATCACTATCTAAGACCTCATCCACCAAAGACCTAAACAAGGATGCATCCTGCTCTGACTCCTCAACAAAAATAGGAATATCAACGCCATCACCGATCACTAAGGGTCTTCCAAAATGGATGGACCTGATCCAATTACAACCCAGTTTCAACACAAATTGCTGTCCACATGGTGCACGCACATGGGAGACCATACGTCGTCAGCAACGCACACCCACACCTATCAAACACGTCATCAAATAACTCTCTCATCCTCCTTAACTCTCCTTGTAAAATATCAAGACCTCGAAATGACAAAAAGCCGTTAAGGTGAAGTAAAGGCATGACGTTGTGCTGCGAACCCATTAGCCGTCTCGATTTCTCTAATTGGTGACGAATCTCGATCAGCATACCCTCAATGTTGCTATGCACACGGCGGAAGATAGTGTCTAACGCTCCCGTAGAATTGTCGAACCATTGTTTATGCACGAAATGTTGGCTCTCTACTCTACATGTGTTGACGTTGCCGAAATGCATAACCAAATTCGTCCAACAACGTACGAATTTCTCCTTGTGGACCAACCATTGCTCCTCAATGTATTTCACCAGTGGTGGGTTCGATGCTCCCCATGTCGCTTTCATAGTTTGCAACTCTAACTCATACTCGGCAACAGTGGTCGAACACATTACTCTTCTCCATCTACCATTTCGAAATCTCTCAGCCATCACCATATCCTTCCCACACAAATAGTGCGCCCTTGCCAACACATCCTTGTTAATGTGCCACCCGCATAGTAAATGCGCGTAGTCTAGGAAGACCTCTTTCAATGCCTTCATTAACCCCAACTCACAATCAGTTACAAAAACATTTGGAGCCACCACATATCCAATGTACAACTTTAATCTTTCCAAAACCCACTTGTACCTATCATAAGTTTCACTCTTCAATATAGCATATCCGATCAGAAAAATTTGGTTTGTAGGCGTGACACCAACGAGCTCAAAGAATGGCATGTTATATTTGTTCATCTTGTAAGTAGAATCCATCCCAATGACATGTGGATATGTACATAGCATATTGACCATCTCTGGGTGGGCCAAAAAAAGCATGGGTGATAGCACGGGTATCCGGGTCGACATTTATCCAAGTGACATACTTGTGCTCATTTGCCAAGTGAACAAATTGGTGGGCAATATCTCGACCTTCAAATGCATCTAGCCGAACACGACTTCTCACATGTAGATATGTCTCTTGTTAGGGTTCTCGTTCAGGAACTTCTCTTTCACGGCTGCCATAATGTGACGGGGCTTGGCTGCAATAGAAGTCATGTCGATAACAAGTGCTTTTGCAGCTGGACTAAGACCACTAACTTGTCGGTGACCCTCTTGATATACCATGAGTGGATGGTTATGCATGCCTTTTAAACCTTTTCTTGATATAAGGACCCATCCTTCCATGTCCCTCAAACATCGAGCCGAGATTTGAAACGTACATTTACAACCCTTACTCTTCGTGTTCTTGCGTATAGCATTCTCTCTATCCCAAATTTCCCCTCTGTTCCTCTCCCCTCGATCACATTTCATATAATTAATTGGAAGCTCGTTTCTCTGTTTCTTATACGATGAATTTGTTAAAAAAAATCCTAATGGAGTGGCAATCTCTCTTGCCCAATCAAGAGCTGCTTCGTAGGTCGGGAACACTTCTCTAGTCTGAAAATGCGGACTATAATCAACACCATCACCGCCGTAGTCCGGTAATGACGCGTGATACAAATAACTATTTTTTAATTAATAATAACATTGATTATTTAATATTAATAACAATAATTTAAAAAAAAATATTGGTCAACCGGAATCCATGGTAACCAGATTTGATCTCCAGTTACAGTGGACCGTTATCGGATTTCACCTCCGGTTACCATGATCAACCGGAGGGCAAATCCGGTTACCGTGGATGGTAACCGGAGATCAAATCCAGTTAACGTGATATCCACCAACGGTTATGCACGGTAACCGGAGGCCAAATCCGGTTACCATGACAATAATCGGAGATAAAACCCGGTTACCGCAACGGTTAACCAGTTTTTGTCTCTGATTGACGTCGTCAGTCGGTTTCTCCGATCAATATTTCGAATCACAACAACCGGAGAAAAATTCATACCTGTTCTAAACGTGAGGGTGGCGTCACCGGTACATTCTCCGTCGAGCCACCATGATCACTATCCATTTATCGTCGACTTTTACCGTCGTTGTGGCTGTTCGGTGTAGAAGGTGGTGGTTGAGATGGTTGTTGTTGATTAGAGAAAGAAAATGAGAAAAAAAAGTTACTAAGGGAAGATTTGTTGGTTTGCTTGAAATGATGGCGGTGGCGATAAATTTGGACGGCGGTATTTAACAACCCCCTAAAGAAAACAAGGAATGAAAGACTTTCTCATCAATCCCCTTAATGTTCATTATAGTTTCAAAGGCCTTAAGTGAAGGTAAGGATTATCTATTTCCTTGAATTTTGGGATGTCGTTGGCATTGAACTTATGCGGAAGAAGTTCCTTGTCCACCAAGACCCCTTGTGAACTAATTTCTTGAAACTTGTAATCAATATATAGCTTGCTAAAGCTTTCTTGCATAAGGTCCATTTGTTGATGCTTCACAGGGTCATTGATTTTGAGAGCTAAAGCCTTCAACGCCTTAGTCACGTTAGTCAATTGACTCCTAAGTTCATTAACTTCCTCTTGAGTTGCCATTATCTTTTTAGCTTTCCTCTTTTGACGAATTGGTTTATCAAAAAGTAAGACTTGAATAAAGAGGTTGTCCTTGATTAATCGCCCTTCACTCCTCGACCAAGTACTGTGGAAAAGGAATTTGGGGATATTCATTGTTAATTATTTGACTCAAACTCTATTCAATATGCAATGGATGGTGGAAGTGAAGAAAGATGATGTAGATGGAGGGATATGAAAGAATTAGGAATGGAATGTACCCCAAACTCAAATGACGGAAAAAACCGACTCATGCATGAACCTAAGACATGGTCGTGGTGATATATACTCAAAGTGTGTGCTAAGACTAGTGAGTGTAATGAGTGTAGATGACATATTAAGACTCGTATCATGACCATGTGGCTAGACTATGTGACTAGACTCGAACAAAAAATAAGTTAAGACCTCACGTATATGCATTAAACTGGACATGTTGTAATATTTTAGTCATAACTTTTAATCTGTGACTCTGATTGGGATGAAACCAGCGCCAAATTACAGAAAAACCTCGGGGCTACAGATCCATAGGTTTTACGACTCGTAGTTCTTCTTAGAAATCCCGCTATGACCAAAAAAATTTGACACTTGTGCAGTATACAGGAATAAAAATCCGGGTTAACTTAAAGGGACTATGACTCGATTTTAGGTATATTTTTTAGCTCAAATTAATTACTTAATTAATTAAAAAAAGTTATATAGTCATTAATTAGTTTATTTAGTCTTAACACAAGTTAAACAAACGGTTAGGAAAAAAACGTAGAGTATGCACAAGCAAAGAATGCACAAGTAGTCACAATATGATGCAATGAGTTTGCAACCTAACCATGGCTCTAGTTCTCTAAAGTTCGGGATATGGATTTTTCAAAGAGGGTCTATGGTTAATTGTCCGGATGCACTGCGCGGAAGCCTAACCTTGAAGGGTTGGCGCGAGTGGATGGGACACCGCGAGTTAAAGAAAACTCGCTTCCATGGTTTGGTGAATTCAACATTCTCGGATGTATCGTTTGTTGCACGGAGCGTTCAATCCGGTAGATGAAGCATGAATTCCCAGAGGGTTAAGTCCATATGTATAACACATATGGGTTTCAGAAAAGTGAAAAAAACTCAATCAGGAAGTAGGATCGAGCAAACAGTGCTAAAAATTAGTCAAAATTAAAACGCATA